GGCTTCTTGAAAGTGTAAGTTGAGTTTTACTATTTTCTTTCACAGCTTGAACTTCTATTTTCATTTAATGGTATTTTTTTCTATCTTTTTCAATTTGAAGTCTGATTTCTTTCCCATAGTAGAAAAAGGAAAAAAATATTGCATATTAGACCCTGAAAATAGAGAGAGGAGAAAGAAAAAGTGATGGAGGGATAAAGGAAGAGAAAGTCAGGAAAGAGAACAAAAGACGGAGGAATGGGATGAAGTCTTGATTATAATCTGGAAAGTAATGGGAAAAACTGGATTTGTTATGAAAAGGTTTTGTTCGTTTTTTGACTCCATCATTTTGCTATGTGACCCTGATTTTGCTGAAACCTTAAAGGTTGAAATAATGACAGCTTCACTTGTTTTACAGACCTGCTGTGAGAAACAAAGCAAGTCAAAGCCAATGGTACATTGTGAAAAAGATTGCGAATACAATATGTAATGGCAGACACAGTGAGATAGAAATAATATTAATTGGATTTTAATTACAGATTTGTCATTTTTATAGATTATTTTAATTATCTTGGCCTGTTTCCTATATTTAAAGAAGACAGAGAAGGTTGTGAAGGTTAAATAGTAAAATGCATATGAAGTATTTTTAAAGAACCCTGCAAATTTTAGTGGAGCTGAAAGTATACTTATTCATATGATGTAACTTGATTTACCCAATATGTGTGTATTCAGATAGGTAGTATTTATTATTTTATATTAATCAACATAGTAAAACAAAGAAGCAAAAAAATGCTTATTATGTAGAGAGTGAGAAATGGAATTTGACTCTTCCACATTTTTAGAGACTATGGTAAATATTTTAAACTACTATTAAAACAAAAAGAAAGATAAAAGAGTTTTTTCAGGTTGAATAGACTCCAGAAAAATGTTACTGGAGTGTAACTCAGTGTGATATTACTTTCTACTGTTTCCATATGCCAATGAGAATTATTTCCTTTTATCAGGATGTTACTAAAACGTTAAGACATTTTAGTGCCTGAGGAAGTTAAAACATAAGGGGGGTTTGAAAATCTAAAAAGATTGAATATTCTACTGATTACTTTTATATAAAAATTAATTCTTTTTCCCTTTAAAAGTTAATATATCATTATTTTGACTTGTTTATATGAAATGTACTAGGACATAAATCAGTGTGCTATATGATAGAAATGTACAATATAAAATAAGCACAATTATTATCCTCTGTTACTCAGCTTATCACATGTTCTAACAGCAAATAAGAAGAAAAGTCAAACTTAATGAAAGAATCACAGTACCTAAAAATAGCTTTCACAATATAAACAAAAATATAGAATTCTTCTATGAGCACATAGGTGTAGGCTGAGAGAAAAAAGGCAGTGTAGTAGGTTTGGGAATTATGAGTATTGGGTCACTTTGTCATATAAACTATGTGTGCCTTCAGGGCCTATTCATGCCTTATTACCTCTATTCCTCTTGCATTTGATGGTGGAATATTGTTGTGCACACCCAACTTTATGGCTTGATGCCTCAGATAACATCAAGGTCATGATGGACTGATTAGGTTCCATGGTAAATTGGTGGCCCATAGTCAAGCATTCAGTGTCTATTCAGGCCAGTAACAGGCCAAGAGCTGTCTCTCAAAAGGTGAATAGTTATCTGTGGATGATGACAGGGCCTTGTTCCAAAATCCTAAAAACTTTTGCTGTGATTCAACTTTGGAGGCCTGCCAAAGGCTCCAAGGAGCATCCCTATTTGTCACTGATGCTTCAAACATCATTGGATCTGCTGCATCACATGACCCAAGTGGCAGACCTTTCTCTTGTTCTGGGCCCCACTCAAAACTGGCAGCTTTTTGGGTCACTTGGTAAATGGGTTGGAGTAATATACCCAAATAAGGAATATGTTGCCTCTGAAATCCAAACAGACCCATTAGATATTCTGTCTTTTCCTTGATGGTAGAGGGGATACAAATTGTTCTTCACTTTAGAAGGAGTATCTTGACATCTCCAACACCACTGACCTCCTAAAAATTTCACTGAGATGGAAAGTCACTGAATTTTAGTTGGGTTTATTTCTCACTATCTGACACACGAATGTCTTACCAATCAGCATTGTGTCATAAATATACAAATAAACAAAAGGTGGAATCATCTTTGATATTTCAATTTCTTCTATCTATGATTTTATATATTACTGAATTTCTCTAAGCCAGAATTTCCTTACTTGCAAAATGGGTATAATTTCAGCTACATAATTAAGTTCTAGGACAATAATAAATGCACAATAAATATCTCTTATTATATTTTTGTTTGTTAAGTTTTTACATTTACTATATTATTCCTTTAATTATGTGTCTTTTTATATATGCCATATCTATACTTCTTATTTTATTTGGTTTTGTGTACATTGATTTCAAAGTTATATAGATTTTTTTTTTCTATTAGTGGATGGTCATAATTATCTATAAGATACATTTGAACTTATTTTTCTTTAATTATGAGATAAAAGTTATGCTTGTATGTATGGATTCCAGCTTCATATATTATGATAAATCTAGTACTATTTTTCTAACCTCTTACTACTTAATTTATTATATACTTTGTCTTATTTTTACAACTGATAAATTTTAACAAATTCTTTGCTCAATTATGAATTGATCTTTTGATGCTAATTTTTTACTTTCATCATTTCTTAAGTATATTAACTATTATATTATTGTTTATACAACTTGAAGTCATTTTATTGTTGGTTCTCTATTTCAATGTTTATCCAGTCACTACTTCTTCAAATTAACTTATATATTAGTTGGCCAATGTACGTTTAAGAGCACATTGTTTCCCCTTTAGTAAGACTATTATGGGAGTAAAATTTCTGACCCTCTGAATATACAGGAATACATATTTGATTACTTTGCCCAGGAGTGGGAAATGGGGCAAAAAATTTGCTTAATCGAATATAGATGAACTTATAAAATCAGTATAATTTATTTATAAAATAAAACATACATACATACCACTCACACACACCATATTATCATTATTACAATGGCCAAAAGCAGCTCCCATAAGTGCATGTACAGTAAATGCAATAATTTCTACTGGGAAAATTTAATGGACCATATAGGAATCAGAGGACACTGAGGGTGGGAAGTCACTTATCAAAAGCCACTCTCATTGAAATGAGATGAAAGTCTTATGACTCATGTAAAACACTTATGCATATGTCACCAGAAAATAAACAATCAGACTCAACATTCTTTGATCAATAAATGCCAGGGCACCAACTCATTCTCAATTTCATATAGAATTTGGAGAAAAGATGGTGTATGTATGTGTATAAAATATAGGCATATATAATACAAAATATATAAAATCCTATATTAGAGCTCTTCAGAAAACCAACAGGATGTATGTATATGAAGAGATTATTATAAGGAATTGATTCATGTGATTATGGAGACTGAGAAATTTCAAGAAATGCAATCATCAAGCTGAAGACCCAGAACAACCAGTAGTATAGTTCCAGTCTCAGTCTCAAGGCCTAAGAACTAGAAGAGCTGATGATGTAAGTTCTAGTCTGAAAACTGGCAAGATGGGGACCCAAGAAGAGTTAACAATTCCATTTGAGTATAAGTCAGGAAAGGACTGGTTCTCCAACTCAAGCAATCAAATGAAGGAAGTTCCCTCTTACTCATGGAAGGGTCAGCCTTTTTGTTCTATTCAGGTCCTCAAATGATTGGGTGAGGACCACACCTAAGGGAAGGCAATCTGCTTTACTCAGTTGACTGATACAAAATTAATCCTATCTGAAAACATCCTCATAGATCCATTAAGAGTAATGTTTGATCAAATACCTGGGCATTCATGGTCCAGTCAATTTGACACATAAATTAGCCATTATACCTAGCATTTATTGATATGAGAAGAATGTTGAGTCTGCAGTATCATAAATATATTTACTAGAATATATTTATGTAGAGACAGTAATACATTTCATTTCAAATTCTGGAAAAAAAAAACCTTTCTCTCTAAGAAAATAAAAACAAAAGAATCTAAACCTAGATCCAGAATAATATTAAGTTAGAGAAGTATTTAAATTTTTGTACATAAGCTTGTGCATATTACAGGACTTGGTAAGGTGAATTTGGCTTTGCACCTGCTGTTTTTGGAAATGGTTGCATACACAAGGTATTTTTCTTGCCAATTTGCATGTGTTTTGCTGTTTTATGCCAGCAATCTTTTGCCAAGATGTTGTGTTAAGCTAACTTCTATTTTTGCCAGAAAACATAGAAACATAGTGGGGCGTCCTTAATGTCTGGAAAGGGATCCAATTAATCACATATATATGACAGCTGGTGGTTCATATCCTCGGGAGTGAAGTTGCCATTACCAAAAACAAATAAAAAAACTTTTACCCAATGAACTTCCTTGACTGAGTTTCTAAAGTTGCATAATCATTTGTAAATAAGTTCTGATAGATCAGGGGATCCAAAGTGATTAGTTTTCACAGAATGGTTAAACAATGTTATTTTTTTTTCTCTAAAAAACACACTAAATCAAGAGCAGAGTGACATTAAGCCAAATATTGAATTACAAGTTTTGATCGAAGATGAAACTTGTGTAATGGTCTTACTCCATACATTGGGAATGAGAGCAACAAAGTCATGAGACCAGAAGGCATACCTACCCAGAGCTCTAAGAGCAGCTTTTAGTCTGTCAATCAGGCAGATGATTTCTTACTTGCCAAAGTTCAGTTTAGAAAACATAGTGCTATACACATGTACAAGCTATCTCTATATGTATTATGCTTGCTTTTCCCAATACACATAAACATATTTATGGGGACTGCCATTTGGCCTGATAACGTGTGTGCAGAAGGAAAGAAAAGGTCATCCTTGCATAAAATATCAGACGATGTCAGTAAGTTGAGGACTAATGACTTAAAGGCTGAGAGATAAATGAAGAAAACAGAGTAGTGTTCTTCATAATTTATTTGATGCTTACCACATGGCATATGTTCAATAAATCTTCCTCATGCCGAAATAAGTGCAATGGTCCCTGGAACTGACCTAAACCAGAGAGGTAGGTACAAAGCAGAAAGAAGTGAATCATGAAGATTATATGGAGGTTATTAGGATACTAGAGAGGACATTCTAAAATCAAGACTTATAAAATAGTACATTCAATTCACAGACATCACTACCCTAAGCATTTAAAAATACATATTTAGCACCCAAATAATAATATGGATGCTTTAAGGTGATGATAATCTAAAAAAATAGTAGTTGTACTTTAGCAATTTGACCCAATGACAAAGAATATTAATAGCAGATCTCATGCACAATTCTTAGATTCGAAAATAGACTTTCAAATTTAAATAGAGCACAACAAAATTATCATACAAATAATTTAATATACTTTAATATTTATAAAATAGAATATATCAAAATATGTGTTCTATGAAAACTATATATATGTTTTTATATAGTATGTAAATATAGAAATTCCTTCTAAATTTGCATTGCCTATAAATGTAATGTTCACAAAAATAAAGACTATTTGTTAAGAGAATATCTGATTTTGCATATTATATTAGAAAATTAACAATAAGAGGAAAGTAGATTATTTTTATTTTAGCTTTTGTAAATAAAAAATTCTCTAGGCAATGGTTGGCATGGGCTTTATACTTTAAACTTTATACTTTATACTTTAAACTCTGCAAAATGCATACATCATAAGTATTTAGTTCACTAAGTTTTAATCACTACCCTAAACAAGAAAAACATTTCCATTACTACACAGAGTTTTCTTGTGTTTTTTTCCAGGTAAATTCTAGCCCCTATGCCCTGAGAAGGCAATCATTTTAAAACTTTTTAAATACATATATCACTTTTTTTCTTTACCAGAACATCAAATGAATAGACTCCTTTGTGTTTAGCTTCTTTCAGTCAACATGCTTCTGAGGTTTAGCCATATTCCTGCACATGTAAGTAGTATGTTCTTATGTGTTTCTAAGAAGTATATCATTGAATGAATATACTCCATTTGTTTACCCATTATCCTTTGATACACATTTCTTTTTGTTTGGAATATTTTAACTAAATCTGTTATGAACATTCTTCTACTAGTCTTTTGTAGGCATATATTTTAGATGACTAATGATAGTGAGATTTTTTTCAAGTATTATGTGTTATGCCTTTTATATCAGTGCCTATTTCAACCTTTTGCATATTTTTGTTTGGCCCTCTTTGTGACTTTAAAGAAATGATGTAACATTAGGATAATCATAGCATATTTTTAAAACAGAGACAAATAATTTTAATTAAATACAATTTATTATTTGATTTTATAATTAGTGCTTTTTGAGTCCTATCTAAGAAGTCTTAGCCTACCCAAAATGTATTAAGATATTAGACATGTTTTATGATGGAGGTCATAGGTTCTACTTTATTTATTTATTTTTTTAATTGTGAATTTTTTTTTATTACCTCATATTACAGGGATACATATATTGTTATGGTTACATAAGCTCTGGCATAGTGGAATGGGAGAGGGGGGCAGGGGCAAGATATCTACTTTTTATGTTTATGTATGCAAGCCATCTCTAATTAATTTTATTATATGGAATTAAACAAGAGTTAGGATTTATTTTTTCCTATTGATTTTTCCTATAGATGCCCCAACACCATCTGTAAAATATATTTTCTATTTCTTACTGAATTGACCTGACACTTTGGTCAAAGATCAATTTATTGTGTATGTACAAGCTACCAAAACCAAATTGTTTTGAATAATGGCTTTATAGTAAGTCTTTAGTAAAAATACTGTCAGTCTCCAATCTTGTTCTTCCTTTCAAAACTATTTGTCTAGACCAGATGGTTTGCTTTTTATTTAAATTATAGATTAATATTGTACATTTCTTTCAAGAAGCATGATGAAATTTGGTTTGAGAAAAGATTAAGTCTATAAATCAATTTGGAGAGAGTAGACACCTTTACAAAATTGGATACTCCAATCCACAAACATAGCATTTTTCACCATTTAATTAGTTTTTTTCAACTTTTCTCTGAAATGTTTTATAGCTTCCAATGTAGAATTTCCATACATATCTTACTAGATATGTTATTCTTCATAAGTGATTTCTGATGCTATTTTAAAATGTTATTTTATTTCATTTTCATAGTGTTAATTTCTCACATATTGACATAAAAATGAGTTTTGTATATTAATGTTCCATTTTGCTAACTTACTAAACTTACTTCTTAATTCTAGGAGAAATTTTCATACATTTTATATTTTTCTCTTCATGAAAAGTCACATCACATTGAGAATGATAACAGTTTTACTTCTTCCTGTTGAAAATTCCTTTAATTTTGATTTTTTCCATCATTGTTCTTGCTAAAATTTTCAGTAATATGTAGAATTACTGAGAGCAACATGCTTTACTTATTTATTTATCTATTTATCGATTCATTTATTTATTTTTTAGAGACCATTTCTTGCTCTGTCACCCAGGCTGGAATTCAGTGGAGTGATCACCGATCACTGTAAACTCAAATTTCTGGGCTCGAGTGATCATCCTGCCTCAGCCTCCTGAGTAGCTGGGACTACAAGTACATGCCACCACATCTGGCTTATTTTCACATTTTTATGTGGAGACGAGGGTCTCACTATGTTGCCCTGGCTGGTCTCAAACTCCTGACTTCAAATAATTCTCTTGCCTTGGCCTTCCAAAGTGCTGGCATTATAGACATGAGCCATCATGCCCAGCCAACATCCTTTATTTCTGAGCTTAAGTGGAAAGCTTTTGGTGTTTTCATCATTAAGTAAAATGTACCTATACTATTTTTTAGATGTACTTTTCCATATTGAGAATGTTTCGGTTTCTTTCTGGTTTATGAAGAGTTTTTATCTTCCTGTCAAATGATTTTCCTGTGTTTGTTAATATGATTGTTTATTCTAAACTGTATCTTGTTAACATCTGTTTTATTCTTTAAGTATTTCTAAATTCTATTTGTTTATATTGTGCTCAGGATTTTCAGATATATGTTAATGGAATATATTGGTCTGTAATTTCCTATTCTTCAGGTTTTGGTACCAGGGTTTTGCTAGCCTCATAAAATGAATTAGAAGTTGTTTTGTTATTTTCTATTTTTGGAAAGAGTTTGTGAATCAATAGCAAAAAGAAAAAAATACACTGAAAAAATCAGCAAAAGACTTGAACTTGGATTTCACAGAAGATATAAAGCGAATCACTAATAAAAATGAAGATATCTTTAGCCTTGTTAAGTGAGAAAATGTATTTTATACTTACCAGATTGGTAAAAATTAAAAAGTGTAGCATTAACAACTGTTGAGAAGAAGGTATAGCAATGGAAACTTTATACATTGATGCTGTAAAGAAATACTGGCATAACCATTTTTGAAAAACAAAAAGTGGCATTAACTAGTAAATTTGAGTTTGAAAATAATTTATTAATCCAATTTCACAGCCCAACCAAGTACAATAGTGCCCAAGAACACCATTTTCCTTTGACGCCTTCTGGCAAAGTTACACTAGTTATTGTTTGCCAATATATCTGACTATAAACAATTGCTAGCCAAGGCTAAATAAGCTATGCCTGGTAGCTCTTTTTTCCTTCAAAAAAAAAAAATACAGATTCTCTGTCATTTGAAGAATGTTGCAAGCAGCACTCTGTATCTTTATGAGACTTTTCTCTGTCTACTTGCTATAGCTAGCCTTATGATACTTTTGGAACTCGGGTAATGGGACCCTCCTGAACTAATCTTAAAAGTGGCCCTTTCTTGTTTTGTTTCAGATAAAAATGAACCGCAGGCCAAGTGGCCACCTAGCAATCCCTAGAAATTTCAGACATCCTCCAATGTGTCTTACAGAAATGTCAATAATATTCTCATAGCAAATCTATATGGGTTGAAACAATGCAGGTTGCTGATAAGGTACAGGGCAACTTTTCGATTAGAAGGGGTGAAGAAAGGCAAGTGTTAACTTTCATCCAGAAAAACTGTTGATTTGTTGCAATGTTTACATGAAAACTGGCTATCCACAGTGCTCATTAACACACAGTTTGGACCCAAACTTTGCTCATACCAGAGAATGAGTTGATGCTTCCCCTATTATGAACACTGATGTGTAAGTCTTGCCACTAGAGTGCTATCTTATACAGCTGTAACTGCAGAGTTTATATTCAAACTTCCCAAACACACCAGTGTTGCTACCCTAACTAAATGCTTTGAAGTATAAGGATAGAGATAAAGGTAAGGTCCTATCACGTTACATTGCTATTGTTTCCTTGCTCCTGTTCACTGGAAAAGCAGGGGGAAAGCTGGCGTTTCTGTAACAATGCAGCATAAAGAATTGCAGCCCAAAAGTCAGAGTCCTTTCCTGGAGTCTGATGGCTGGACTTGTTAGATCCTTGTGAGGTTCCCTAGGATAAATGGGCAATAAGGAGCCTGTATACTTGCTTTTGATCTAGTCTTTATGAATTTTCCTAAAGCAGTCTGCACCAGTTCTCTGGGTTCTGCTTGGTCATTTGCATATATTTTAAACATGTTCATTCTATTTAAGATTATATAGCAGTGAAAATGAATGAGACAGAGCTATATACATAAACAAGATTAGATTTTTTAGATGTTGTACAAGAGTACAACATATATTCGTTGATGAAAAGCAACCCACAGATGAATACCTACAGTATTATACTGCCATGGTTTCAATGTTTGTCCTCTTCCAAACTCATGTTGAAATTTAATTCCCATTGTAACAGAATTAAGAGCTGGGACCTTTAAGAGCTGACTCTTAAAGGTCAGTACTCATCGATGTATTAATGCCATTATGTCCAGAGTGTGCTCACTATAAAAGGGTGAGTTAGGGTATACTCTCCATCTCTCTCACCTTCCTTGCCTTTCTGTCTTCTGCCATGTGAGGACACAGCAATAAGGTACCATCTTGGAAAAATAAATCAGTCCTCACCAGACACTGAATCCACTGGTGCCCTGATCTTAGACTGCCCAGCCTCCAGAACTGTGAAAAAAGTTTTTTGATTGTTTATAAATTACCTACTCTTAGGTATTCCATTATAGCAGCAAAAATGGACTGACATATACCTTTATAGAAATTTCAAAAATGTGATATTTGATATTTCTAAAGGACAAACAATATACTTTTTCAATTTATTATCTAAAAGTACTATAAAGTCTCATATTTTGACACCAGAACCTGAGAATAGAAATAAAATATAAAACTGCAAAGGTCTCACGTAGCAACAGAAATTTCTACATAAAATAACAAATAAATCAAACAAAGCTATGCATTAAAGAAACAATTGGCCATGATTGCTTAAGCTTAAAGAAAAACTATTCCTTTAAGTTCAAAGGTGGAACAGCTTCATTTTTTAAAGATAAATATAAGTGTTTATATAGAAACTCTAGTCAGAAGAATCCTAATAGATATACTTCATTGTGAGCCTGAATAAGCGTTAGATCATGGGGGATGTTGGGGAAAGATAAGCATATGCCCTGCCTCACTATGAATTCTCAAGAAAGCCAAATCCTTTCTTGCAATGCTGGAGAGAAAGTGAAACACTTTTCTTTTGTGGGTCGCAGTGGTTTCAACAAGAGGGCCCAGAGGTTCTCAAACAAAAACTGCTGTAAGACAATTACATACTTATACTTAGAACATATATTTGGTGTCAATTTTGAGTTGTTGCATTGTAACCTAATTTCACAAATCATCTTAATAGCCGAGGCCTATAGGCTTTAAATAATTTGGGGGACAATCTGGTGAAAAAATCATAAATCTTCCTTACAAAGTAGAGTTTTTGTGTGGGTAAACCCAAAAGTCCAGTAAAAGAGGATTTTTTTATATTGATCCCATATTAAAAAAAAGACCAAATATATTTTTGTCCAAAAGGTTAATATTAGAAAATATATGTTTATCATTCATTACCTTACAGGTCACTGGGGACTGAGCATGGTCTCTCTGTAAATATATAAATAATAACAACAATGAAAACTTTAAAAACACCCAAGTTTCCAAGAGTATAATCATTAATTACAGAAATTCATAGAATGGAATGCTATGAAGCCACTCTAACATTCATGTCTGAAAAATAATGGGAAATACATAAAATATAATGCTAAAGGACGAAAAGCATTAAGAGATTAAAAGAAGAAAAAAGTATAAAAAGAGAGACAAACATTATCTATAGCATGATATAAATTGTGTAAAAACATTTTTATATTACATAAAGTATATAAATGTCTTCAGGAGTTTTAAAATTGCCATTTCTGAATAAAGATATTATATTTGATTTAAATAGTCTATACTTTTCTAATTAATGTAAATTTTTATAATTTATATTATTTTAAAATCCAAAAACTTAATGTTCTTTTAACATAAAATTAATTGATAACTTGTACATAAACATTTGAAAGATGTACATTTTAATAAAAATAGAAGAAAGACTATAGTATAGTTTATTGCAAATAAAAGACAGAAAAACACCTTCGAGAGTGTTCAGGGCATCACATAATTCCCCTGCTGTGCTGACCTGACTGCAGTTTTCCTTTCAGTCAATTTCTCCACAGGGAGGTACCGAGTGATGAAGAATTTGCTCCAGGTAGGACATTCCATTTTCCTGCTTCTAGGTGCAGTACATACTCTTATCAACTTTTTAGTACAAGATCAATGTGAATAGCAAGGTATATAAAAGTCTATTCAGCTTTTATCTATTCACAGAAAGAACAAAATACTTTCGTGTTTCCAGAAAGTATTATTTTTTGAAGTTCAGTGGCTCTGGTGTTGAGGAGCTACTACTGCTTTGGATTTTATAAGCTATCATAAAAATAGAAGTATACATCTTTCAAATAAATATATTGGATAAATGAGTAATAATGTATTTGGTTCATTTTTGGACAGTTCGTCTATGCTTTCCTCTTTTTCTTAATAATTAAGGGAGGATAATAGAGTAAATTGAATGAATGAAGGCTCAATTATTCTTTACTCTGCTACTTAACAAATTTAACCACAGGATTAAAGTTAACAGTGAAAGGCAATTGCTCTAGTTTTCCTCTTTTATTCATAAAGCCTCTTCATATCATGAGAAGAAAATTAAAAAAAAACAGATTTTTTCCAAAGTATAAACATATATATGTGTGTATATATGTGTGTGCATATATATATTCATATTCTAGATTTTCAGCTTCTTTGAAATCTTATGAATCAAGAAAACTCATTGTTTTCTTAGTTGAGTAAACAAAGGAGAGGAATAAAAAAAAAACACCCAGGCAATGGCCCAGTGAATCTGTGGCTTTAAGCCTGCAGAGTGCTGGCCCACATGCACAGGTGACGATGAAAGGCTTCTCCATTCGTCTTACCTAACCAGCATTGCCCTATGGCAACAACAACAGTCTAAAGCCACTTGGCAAGTTCTAGGTACCATATGTCCTGAGAGAATAAAGGTTTCTCTCTAATATCTGATGTGTTTACACAGTTATTGAGTAGCTGCTGTGTGCTAGATACTATATTAAGTATAAAACATTGCATAAAACATTTCATTGAATTTTACAAATGACCCCAGGATACCACATTATCATTGCCATTTTCTAGAAGAAAGTGAGGTTTGAATGATTTTAATACATTACCAAAAAGTCCACAGCTGATTTATGTAAGGCAAAGCTTGGAATCAAATGCAGGTTTATGTGAATCCAAAGCCCATGTTCTTAACCAACGCCTTGGTTAAAAATCAAGCCCTCAGGGTAAACTATTAAGAGCAGGTAGTCACTATTTAGTTAAGGAATGTTTAATAAAAATCATTCCTTGGAAATATTTCATTCCTTAACATTATTTATATTGAGTTCATACATGTTAATTTAATTGTCCAGTGCTCTATTTATGCCAAATAATGTTACTTATTCTATTAATAGGAAAAATTTTAGACAGCCTCAAGGGGAGAACTAAAAAACTACTTTGATATCCAAGGATTATTGGTTTGGGTAAAATACCTACTTAAAATATCACCATAAGTAATAAAAAAAAATTCAATGAAATTTAATGATGAAAAATGATATTAGAATTAAGAAAATAAATTTATTTAAACTTATATTTAACTATACTCAGTTATAAAATAAGATTAGGACCTAATTAATAAACAAATAAATAAATACTTAAGCAATTTTATAATGCCCAACTTCTAATACCACTTTTAGAAAATATTGCATGATAAAGGATGACAACTCAACTTTGTGTTTGACTTTTATATAATAGATATGTAGATAGTCATTTTTGCAATAATGTCATAGATGTGCCAAATTTCCTAAGAATTTATATTAATCCTTTGTTTTTCTCTATGCAATTATGTAATACATGGGCTTAGATAACTAATACTAGGAAAAATATAGGCACAGTTTGATAAATTGATTCTACTTGAAGTATGCTGTGTTAAACAAACACATTCTCACCTGTTCTTGCTGCTATTAATATAACAGCTGGATAGTGCTTCTCTCAGGTATAGCATATCGTTCTTTGCCAGGTTATCTAACAAAAATCTGTACATTGTAATGAATTAGATTTGAACTGTTGGATCTAATATAAACAATTCCTGCCCACTGGAGGAGTGGGAACATTTAGTGTCTAAGAATCACTTTTCTTTACTTTGATTGTGGTTTCTGAAAAGATAAAAGAGAAACAAAAACCTTACCTGGAGTTTTGAGTCAGGCATAGGCACTCATGTCAAACAGACCTACATTAGCATGCTGTGGTATCCAATTAATGGTTTGCTGAGTGTGCTTAAGGAAACATAGAGATTTCAATGCCTATCATGTTAGAGTAGACAAGACAGAGGATGCCCTACTCACAAGAGCATGCTGTGACTAGAACCAGATCATAATATATTGTTTCCTTCATGACTCTGGAAAGCAGAAGGAGTCTTTTCTTCTGTCTATCCTCAGCTTTGCCTATTCCTTGGCATGGGATGAAGCACTTGTTCTTTTAGAAGAAACACATTCTGCTTTTGTTTTATCCCTTATCTATGCACCATGCACCACAGCCAAACTGTGCATCTTATTCATGTTTCAATCTGAGCATTCAATTCATTTCCTAGTGCTCAGTTCAATAAGCATTTGATAGGCGGGCGCACTGGCTCACGCCTGTAATCCCAGCTCTCTGGGAGGCCGAGGTGGGCGGATCGTTTGAGTTCAGGAGTTCGAGACCAGCCTGAGCAAGAGCGAGACCCCGTCTCTACTATAAATAGAAGAAATTAATTGGCCAACTAATATATATAATAAAAATTAGCCGGGCATGGTGGCACGTGCCTGTAGTCCCAGCTGCTCGGGAAGCTGAGGCAGGAGGATTGCTTGAGCCCAGGAGTTTGAGGTTGCTGTGAGCCAGGCTGACGCCACGGCACTCATTAGTGGGGCAACAAAGTGAGACTCTGTCTCAAAAATAAATAAATAAAATAAAATAAAATAAAATAAGCATTTGATAAAATATCCTAGGTGGGTCAGTTGTTCCACTGGAATGTGGGACCTAGAAGATACTTCAGAAACTACCTCTAAGATACAAAAAGGTGATGTTATCTGTGGAAAAAGCTAAGTATCTTTATGACCACCAGCTATGTGGCTCCAGAGGGGCAATTATAGAGAAGCATAAAGAGGAACAGTGGCTAATTATAATCATTATTTTTAGCTAGGACCTTACCACAGTTCTCACCTTGCACCCTTTTATCAATTTGCATTAGCTTCCTCTTGGACAGTGGGCAAATGAACCTGGTTGGGTGACAATATTTATGTTGTATCCACATATGTGAATACTATAAAATTGGTTTTGTGTAGTCTGTTCTTTGGGTATTTATTTCTGCTTCCTCTCATATCCAAAAGTCCTTCTCTGCTAAGGTCTAAAACAGAAAGGTCATGTTTGGTTAAACTTCACATTTTAAAACAGTCTCAAAAATCATATCCATAGTTACCATAAAAATAGCTATTTTGGAAATGTGTAAGACTTTGTGGGTTTTTTTTTCCTGATAATTCTTTCTTTCTTTCTATACATTTATATCTATTTAACTATCCTTGCACTATCATATATTTCTTTTACGTCATTGTAGTTTTGAGGTGCTTTACCCTAACATTCTATGTGTCTAGTATTCTTTATGCAATCTTTGCCACAACCTTATTGGGTAGAAAAATTCTACCCAATTCTACAGTTCTCCAATTGCAATTGAGAAATGAAGGCTCACAAATGTTAAGTAACTTGCCTACATTCCTACAGCTAATTCCAAAAACCATTTATTTTGTCATTACTAGAGTTCCATTTGAATATAGGTAGTGAAAGAAACATCTGAAGAATTACTTACATTTTACGATCTCTTGGCTAACTGAATAAAAAGCCACAAACATTTTTTAACTTAAATGAAGTAAAATTCCAAAAAGGACAGAAAAACTGCCAATTCTTCCTGAATAATTTGAGTTCACATTATTCTAGAGACAGATCATGTCACAGCTTCTAATTCTTTAATTTGTGTTTGTGCCTGTGTGTGTGTGTGTGTGTGTGTGTGGGTGGGTGTGTGCATACACACATGTGGACATGTGTATGTGATTGGTTAGTTGGTTTTGAACTGATATTATTTCTAAGTGGCATATGTTTTAACTACAATACCTTATAAGAAACAATAGCAAATATTTTGGCAGCAAATCTTCAGTTTTTTATGCTGCCAGCTCTCTGTGGTACAATAATGATCATCTGCTAACACCAAAGAAAATCAACTGCAACTTTCCTGACCAGAAATCAGAAAAGAAGCAAAACATGGGAAATCCTTCTCTTTGTCAAAGGAAAGATCATGCTCAGTTGCATTGCCTCATCAACCCCTTTGCAGCAGAGCTGGCTAGCTTCAATTTTATTACTACCATTAATAACCATGGCATGTCAGATGGGCTTTCAGCTATAGGCTAATCTCCTGGGTGACTGGATACCTATATTTTTAGA